GGTCAGGAGAGGTCTGCTGCACCATGTGGTCACCTCCGGGGCAGGCGGGGACCGAACTCATGAGGAAGTGGCTTTAGCCTCTCAGTGCTGTGCTTTAACCCGCTGCGCCACCAGGGAGGGCCAGGGTAGTGTCATTTTTAATTGTATTCATTAATTCAGTAATAATTTCAGTTCTTAGACAATCATAACCACAGAATAAGACTGAACCCTGAATTGCCTAAATTAACCCTGTGCCATACTGTCCTCTGACTCTACTCATGCTATTTCTGTAGTGTGTATTTCCCCTTTTATATCTGTGTCTCATTGAAGTTATGTGGGAGTCCAACCACCTGAGAATGTCTAATGCAGTTGTGAGGAAGTCTAGTACCTCATAATCATTGAAGAATTTCATTGACATATAAGCATCAAATTTGTTTAGTATCAAGTGCATCCTGTGGTTTTTTAAGTTTCATATTTTTTAAAGATATGTCTACATTATGTAGATGTAGAATAATTTCACTGATAATTTTCCTAATCTTAGAAATAGCACTGATTGACTGTCAAAGCTCATTCCCCATCTGCTTCTCCCTTGCCCACCTTATAGAGGAGGCAGGAAAAGCTGGATACCTGTGTCCTCAGTTTCTAAACAGTGAGGGTTGTGTGACTGTTCTATCCAGTGAGATAGGAAAAGAATATTTACTTTCCCTAGCAAGGGAACAGAGAACAAAACAGCCTTGCCTATCTTATACACCACTGTTACGGAGTATTCAGTTATTAACCTCTGACTGCAATCTAACAGGTGCTCTTAGTTACTTTAATATTTTATTTGTGGAAATGAGAACAGAACTGAATTATTGACACTTGGCCATTTATACTTATTATTTGTTGGAACAGTGTTGAATTTGGTGGGGAATAAACCTAGAGAAGAATTAACTGCATTTAAAAGATTTGGACATTTTAGTTATAAAGTAATGTAGCTATGTCTAGCCACAATGCATGGTACAAGTTTTGAGGGATGTTATATTTCAGAGAACTTGTGTGTGACTAATGACCACACAGGAAGGTGGGAGATCTAGGTTAAAATTGAATGTTTAGGGCCCTCCCTGGTGGCGCAGCGGGTTAAAGCACAGCACTGAGAATCTAAAGCCACTTCCTCATGAGTTCGATTCCCGCCTGC